TGGCACTGTGTGCTTCCTTGGGACTCACACTTGGGATGTCAGACTAGATGTCCAACTCTTCCACTAGTGGGGCATCTCCGCTTGATGAAGAGAGATCACCACGACCCCTCCATTAGCTCCTTGGGAACAGTTTCCCTAATGGTTTTAGCCACCAATCTTTTTCATTGTCAACATCCCATTGTATCGCTGAGTAAGATGGGGTCTCTGAGTAAGATGGGGTACTTGTAACTCTGCTCTTGAGGCTGCCACTGGAAATTATGCCACAAACCATTGGAAGTCGTTCATGTGACAAATGAATTCTTTTTCTTCACTCTACAATCTTAACATGTTTTGTTCTGCTGTATGTTGATGTTTTGAAAATAAATTTAAAGACAAGCCTGGTAGCACACACCTTTAATCCCAGCACTCTGGATCTCTGTGAGTTTGAGTAATTTTCTAGAACTGTTTTAAATTTCTTGTCCCATTTTTAAATGATGGTTTTGGTAGGAGGTACACTGTAATCTGTTCTTGCATTTATTCAAGCTAATCCATTTTCCTTGGCCGGTATTTATCGGCATATAGGTCATTTGGAAGAAACTGCTCAATAGATAGGTCCTTGCCAGGACTCCTATGCAAGGAAACCTCATTTACAAATACATCAGTGAAGTTTCCCTAGTCATACCTTGCTGGGAACTTCCTCAGTGTTCTGAGTTTGATTCCTTTCATTAACGAATCAAGAGTAACCTCTGGGAGCTGGAGCTCAGGGTTAAGAGCACTTGCTGCACTTCCAAAGGGCAGGAATTAGAATCCCAGGGCCCAGCACCCAGGTCAGCAGGCTTTCAAGCTGTGACTTGCTCCAGAGCATCCCACACCCACTTTTGGCCTCTCACCTATCCCATTCACGTAATTTAAAGAAAAATAAACCTTTTTAAAAAGTAAACTTTGAAGAAAAAACAAAGAAATTCTGTTTACCTTTCCACGGTTATCACTACTTTAATCTGTGTCTTGCACGTCGCTTTTAAAGATTACACAGGAAAAATTTTATGATGTCAATATTTGATGCAGCGCACCGCCCATACAAGTCCCGCCTTGCTCCCGCCACCACCAGCTGCCCCCTGCGGGACCTTTTTCGACCCGCGTCCCTGAAACCGATGAAGTTGTTCTGTATAAGACAAGCCGCCATCAGAGCTCGCAAACAATGGCCCGCTGCTTCTGGACGCCCACGGCCACACACCTCGGATGCTCAGCAGTGCCAGGCTTCTCCACGGGAGGGGCGTTCCCAAACTGTGCCAGTGCATCTCGGAAAAGGGGAAAGTCAACGTGCCCGAGGTCACAAAGCCTCTCCCGTGTGCACCAGAGGACCAGGGCGTTGTTCACTCAGATCTGCACAGCGCTTTCCGAAAACCGGTACAACCCTTGAACATGCTCCCGATGTTTGAACTCCGATGATCTAGGAGATGGGGGTGGGCGTGCATCCTGGAGGAGTTAGGTCGAGGAGTGGGATGAAATATGATCGAAATACATTGTATGCATGTACTAATTCTCAAAGGACTAATAAAATATTACATTATGAAAAATCTGTCTATGAGAGACGAAAGCAAAGAAGAGTGATGAAGCCCTTGCTACCCTCCAAAAGTCACCCCCATTTTAATGCAGTAGTTCCCCCTCTTGTCCGAAGGGAAGACCTTCTAAGGCATTTTCCAAATGTCTGAAACCACCCATTAAACTCAACTCATGTACAGTATGTTTTTTAATGTATAAATACCTGCGATAAAGCTTAATTTATAAATTAGGTGTCATAAGAGAAAACAAGATTCTTACTGATCAGTTGTAACATGTTATAACGAAGTTGTTTAAAATGTATGGATTATTGACTTCTAGAAGTTTCTATTCAATATTTCCAGGCTTCAGTTGACTGGAAACCACCAAAAATGAAATCAGAAATAGGACTTCTGTGTTCAGAAAAGCTAAGGAGTGTGCTGGCAGTGGCCAAATGTTCCAGATGACACTGCGCTGGGCTTTACTACGTATTCTCTTGTTTCGTTTTATTTTCCTTCTTCCTCCACTAGTGTTTATCTCCCTCCCTGAATTGGTTGCTCTTCTTAAAACAGTTGCCCCTCTTTGTAGCACATTCCTGTGTGTATTCATATAAGCAACCTCAAATGAGTGGAAGACAAGCACATAAACTGACTGGAAATAGAAATAAGGGCATGTTCATACTTCAGTTTACACTGCATACTTAACTTTTTTTATCTGTAGAAATTTAAGCAGCATCTTGATTTACACATTTTGGGAATGAATAAGGTCTTCCATTGCTAGATGCTTGCTATTTGGGCACTGTGCACTATGGTCTTATTTAACTGTCAAGTACTTTGTAGACCCATTTCACACACCACACCACGAAGTTTCAGAGAGCAGGAGTAGACTGCCCAAGATCAGAGTTTAGGCAGGATTTGGTTTCAGGCAGTCTGACTCTCTAAGCCATTAAACAAGCTGTAGGAAGCCCTAGGTGTATACCTCCTTTAAAAAATACCGACGGATGTGTCCCACCTCTAGAGATTGTGATTTATGTGATCTGAAATGTGGACTGAGACCCTGAATTTTTAAATTCCAGATGAGTCTGATCCAAGACCACTTTAGGAATGACATAGCACTGTATTAACATGGGGCATTACCTGATGTTGGCCACTCCAGAGCTATTCCATCCTGCAAGTGATGAAGTAACTAACCTCAAACCTTACTTTTATGAAAAGTGATGCTCACTGGGAGACATAGCATGAAAGAGCAATTGTTTTGTTACTCCTTCCTGTTACCTGTAGTTACAGATGGTCCATTAGGACTGGTTCAGCATTAGAGTGACACTGACCTGCGTGTCTGAGGCTGAAAACCCAAGTTAGTAGTATGGGAAAAGCCCATAGAATAAAGCTTCATAGATGACAGCACAACAGAGTCATAAACTACTCTCCCCCTACCTATAGGTCAGAATCAGTTTAGCCTTTAAAAGGACAGCGAGAAATGGTTGAGTCCAATCCTCTTTTTCGTTTGTCACCATCTCCTCAGGCCACCTCCACTTCTATCTCCTGTGTGTTCTCTCATGGGAGCCAAGTCCGTAGTTGGCTGGATTTTTGTTTTTAACAGTAAACTAATAAAACCATGGGTACATTGAAGTTGTAACTAGTAATTCCAACTACCATTCATATATACAAGGTGCCTTATATGCATACACACAGGTGAGTTATCTATTATCTATCATCTATCTATCTATCTTTGATCTTCACACAGATCTATTATCAGCCAATCTGAAAAGAGGGACACTGAATCTCACAGAGCTTAATCCGGTTGTCAAAGATCATGTAGTTGATAGAGCAACAAAGCTGGTGTTTGAGCTGTCTCTCCCTGGTGCCAGCTCGACCTGCTCTCCTTTCCAGAAAGCACTCCTGAGTGCTGAATGTACTCTTTGAGAGCCTCCAGATGGGATTAAAAATTCCCACCAAGAGACTCTGTCTGGAACAGTCTGTCATTAAAATGACTATTTTGACAGGTCTCTGGATACAGGGACCTTATGATCAACTACATTTTTTTTTTCTTCCAGAAACATGAATTTCTATGCATGCATTTTCATTTGCATGATCATATCTCCTGACATGGTACTGATATCTCAGAGTTAGCAGTTTCTACCTGTCAGAGACCCCACACTGGACATTTTTATGTATGTCTTTGCCCACATTTGAAACAATTTCCTTAGGGTACATTTCTAGAAATGGAACTGGGTTTCGATGTCCGAACATTGCTGACTCACAGTCCCAACTTACTCTTTATATAGCACTAACTTAAACATTTGTCAGCTGTGCATAGGATGTGCATGCCATTCGCCCTCTAGCACTTGGTCCTTTGTCAAAAAAATGTTGCTAATTTGATAGCTTAAAAGAATCTCAGTTTTTATTTGCATTGTTTTGATTATAAGTAAGGTTGATAAGAAAAAAATAACTAAGTTTGATTTTTAAGTGTTTTTGGCCTTTCATGCATTTTCATATTTGAATTTAACTCATATTCTTAGCTTATTTTATTCTTGGCACATATTTTACTATTTTTCCTGTTTGTACTTTGGTATTCTTCAAATATTAACATTATTAAGTGCTTATCCTATTTGCTGTCTGATACTTACTGTTTTGTTTTTTCTATAGATTTAAACTGTTTACACAGAGTTAAAAAATTTGAAGTTAATATATAAAACAATAGGCTGCATTATTGCATTTCCATAGATTATTTTTTGTTGATCTTCCTCCCCCATTTTTCCCTTCTCATTACTTTCTGGTTACATATAGATTATCACCTTCTTTATACCTTCATTAAGACCTCTCCCCCACCGGGTGTTGGTGGCACATGCCTTTAATCCCAGCACTCGGGAAGCAGGGGTAGGCGGATCTCTGTGAGTTCGAGGCCAACCTGGTCTCCAGAATGAGTGCCAGGATAGGTTCCAAAGCTACACAGAGAAACCCTGTCTTGAAAAACAAAACAAAACAAACAAAAAAGATTTCTCCCCCACCTTTCTAGTTTTGTGTCATGTCCTACAACCATAGACATCTATAAAAAATTAAATTTTAGTAAGAGAGAAAATGAGATCTTTGTCATTCTGATTGTGGATTGTTTTACATAATACATTTCTAGTTTAACTAATTTTCCTGCAAATATGATTTTATTTTTCTTTATAGCTAAATAATGTCCTTTTGGACACACAGAAGTTTTAAGTTCTAAATATTTTAATCTTTTTGGCCAGCTTTAATCCTAGAAAATTAAAATCTGGTGATTAAATGTTCTATTTTCTTTCCAGTCCAGCTTTTAAAAAGCTTGAAGCTCTTGGTCTGTGTGTGTGTGTGTGTGTGTGTTTAGTACATGGCATGATATATTTAACTTTAATATTATTCCCCCAATAGTTACTTTTGTAACTGCTTTTGCTTTGTGATAACTCCTGACATCTTTAATTCCTGTTGAATCTAATTTTTGCTTTTATTTTCTTTTAGCACAATCTGCTTCCCGTGACCTTGTAGGGAAATGGTAAGACCAAGGATAATACCATTCTCACACCTGAAATGATGACCAGCAAAGCTAGGGGCTAAACTCTAGGAGAATTTGAGAGAAAGCCTGTCCTGGGGTTTCTAAGGAGTCTCCTCTAAGAGTCTCCATGCTTTCCCTTAGTGATAGGCCCTTTTAGAATCAGCATTTCTATGGGAAGAAGAAAGGAGAGCTCAGATGTAGTTTGATAGTTCAGTTTTGTTTAAAACCAAACCACCACCAAAATAAATAAGCACACACATAAGAAAGAAAGGGGCTGGGGGCTGGAGGGATGGCTCAGAGGTTAAGAGCACTGGCT